GCGGGTTTGGACTTTTTTTCCCCACCATTACTCCAGGGAGTGAAGCCAGTAGAGAACCAGAGCCAGAGACACACATTCCTCAGAGAGCTGGTGAGAGAGCTAAGCTCTTTTTAGTAGGATGCCATTTTTTCTACTTTTGATGCCCAGGTTAATACAGAACTGGAAACATGGCAAAACCCACACAAAAGGTGGCAGCAGAAGGAAGGGAATTGGATTGCAATCCACAGCTGCAAGGAATCAGCAAATGAGTTCAGCTTAAAGATGAATCCACATCATCCAATTTTAAGTAACTAGCTCACTGTGCAGCTCAAAACCAAAAAGCTAAAACAACGGAGAGTCTGTCTCCTTATTCTAACACAGACCTAAGCTGAAAGTTACCATCTGAGCACAGAAGTGACTTCTCAAGATAAAGGTTCTGTTCCCTGTCACATTCCTGATACAGACACACTGAGATATACAAGGACTATATGCAAATCCATCAACCAGTCCACACACTGGCATTAAGAGCTGGTTTAAAAACCTGTGCTTGTTTTCAGTAGTGCGTTTACAGCCACCATGATTAAACAGTCAAGAAAAAAAGGAATATGAAACAGAAGAACTAAAAAGCTTGTGACAATTTCTGGATACAAAATTATTCTTGGAAGTTACCAAAAAAATTACTCATATGCCTACTCTTTCTTGAAAGCACTTTATATCACTGAATGCAAATTTGACTAATGTTTTAATTAAAGCTTATACAAAATATTCACTTAGAATAGTCTAAAAGAACCAGCAATCCTATCCAGATATAGAACATTTCTTCCAATACAATTGATTTGGCACTTATGGAGGTTGAACAATCTGTAATTAAGTGAAATGAGACTTCTATGGGAATACCAAGAACATTAAGACTATGTGACAGCATGGGAATTATTTGCCAGTGAACACTTTTCTTTTACTGTTTTTTTTTTTTATAATTGCCATGTAAAATTTAATTAAAACAAAGCCAGAGACTTAGCTTATGTTACATCCACTCATTAACTATACCGCTCACCTTTGGACCATTCATTAGGAAATAACTAAATTTAGTGTTTAGTATACAACCTTCTCTTTCTTTTTTCAATCACTTCTCTATTTAATTTCCTCCACCACTCCAATCCCCAGCTGAAGCTTTAAAAACAGTCATTCAGTAGCATTTTGAAGCAGGCAGTAGCTGAAAAAAAGAAAGTAAACTAAGTCTGATCTAGATCCAGCGCAGCCAGGAGGAATGCTCTTCTCTGAGTATTTCACAGAAACAGTGACAGAGCTTCAGCTTTGAAATACATCCTCCAAATTATCATGTTTTTCTACAAATTCCCTTCCAATAATATCTATTCAAGATTTTTAAAGTGTTCTCTCTCCAGTGTGAAAAACCTGTCGCTAAGTTACTTTGCTGGTATTCTTGGGAAGCCTCCCACTGCTTGCCTGGTTATCCCATTATTGGGTTTTTTTCACATTTAAACTATATCCCACTTGCATAACAGAAAATATACCACTCACTGCATATTTTTCACTTCCCATTCTACCTCATTCAAGTGTATGACTCCTCAAGAACAGCTAGAAATTTCTGCATCTCAGTATTCCTATGAAAAAGATGAATTTAAGCTGCAGAAGAAGCTGGGAGCAAACACTCAGACTCCAACTTCCCAGATGCTGTTCCCAGCAGAGACAGAGCTTGGATTCTGCTCAAACTCCAGAAGCCCAGAACACATGAGTGTCTGCCTGTTCATAACAGCATGATGAGAGACAGATAACTGGCACTTTCCACTTACTACAGAGTATAAAGTATGCAGAGAGGTAGGAATAAAGAGATCCAACCTTGCTGACAGCAGAATAACAAACCACATCATGACAATCCTATCAATGGTAGAGCTATTTAAACAAAACTCAAAAATACATATTTTTGTGAAGTCCTCGATTATGCAAAAGTAAGTCAAGCATATACCCTTCTCTGTGTCATTACAGACCTTTCTTTGTAAATCCAGACCCTAAGCTGAAACAGTAAGGTGGCTAAAAATAGCAGAATGCTATTTTATGTAAATTTAAAACACTTTAAAGAGCATGTTTCCAATCCCGTGCTAATAATCATTGAGTATAAAGTACCATCATCTACAAGAGAAAGAAAAAAACCAATACAATGAAATGAAGCAGTTCTTGCTTCTCTTATCTCCTACCAGGCAGTGAATATGCAGAAAGAAACTTTAAGAAAAAGAATTAAAAGAACATAAATGTCTTTTTTTTCCCTAGTTTCTGGAATTTCTGTGAAGAATTGTTACCTTGCAAATGATATCTGATCTCCAAAGTCTAATTATTGCAGCATTTAAGCTTTTGATCCCTTCCTTTTATAAAGAAAAGCAGAGAGAAATTTAAAATCTTACTTGTAGATGAAATTCAAGTTCACACTATATGCAATACTAAAGCCAGTTAAAATATTCTTCTCAGTTAATACTCTAATACTGAGAAGACAGGAGGAGGAAAAGGAAAAAGGCATATTAAAAACAAGAGATAAATCTTGTCACAAGAAAAGTTTCTAGGAACAGGTAAGCACAAAATTGCTTCAAGTACAGTCCACTTCTTGAATAAGAAGCAGAGTCATCAGTGGTGTCATCTGAAGCACATAAATTCTGGACATTTTATTTTCTGGACTGTTAAGTTTAAAAATACAGAAGATAGATATTCTCTATTTGCTCTGTGGCTTACAAAAGCAGAGAACTTAAAGTGCTTCAGTAACAAACATTTCAAGTGAAAAGCGACCTAGTCTGATTTGTAACACAGAACTAAGAAGTATACTTTTCTTCAGCATTTCTGCTTTATACTCAACAGATTCAAGCCAATTAAAACATATCTATTCCAAAATACATCTATACTCCAACTTCCTATGCCAAGTTTCTGTAACTTACCAGTCTTAAAGAAAAATGCAAGAACCCTCTTCCTACTATCTGAAATACTCCTCCATTTGGTTCCTCTGCTACACATGTCCACCACCCCTCAGTTAAGGAAATACTTTTATTTTCTTGCGCGATCATAGTGACCAACTTGCATTTTCTTGCATAGTGACCAACAATGCAAGAATACAAGTGGATCAGTGAGATGCTCCCCAATCTAAAGCCTTCCTCTTTTCCAAAAGTCGTGCCTTAGATCTTCTGTGGCAGAAACTGGCTGTGTATTTACCAGCCTCCCACTCATTTAGTCAAGATTTTCTAATAAAATTTTGCTTTTCAAATGCTTTTTAAATCCCTGAACACTTCTGGCATCCAAAGCATCCCAACATATTCTCCACTTTCTATTCATGTCCTTTTGGTGCCTTTTTTTTTGGTTTTTTGTTTTACCTGTTTTCAACTCCTTTTTCTTTGAGGCTCCCCATACCAACATTATTTTTAACAGCTAAGCAAATACTTCCTATTCAGCCACTGCAGAGCACTTACCATACTGATTTGCCCTTTCCATTCTCATCACCAGAAAAAAAAAGACTACAATGAAGTCAAATTTCATCACACAGAGTTCATCCTGTACAGAAGAGTAACAAATATAATGAAAAGTACTTAATTATCCCCACTCCAATTTTTCATTACAGAAATGGAGGGGGAATGATAAAAGGATTCATTACAAGTATTTGACACAGTTAGAGCAAGCTAAGTATTCCTGCTATTCTTCTTTTTCCTGATAATTTCTGAAATTTTGTTTGCTTTCTTTGGACCACTACTAATTGCTGTTTACTTTCACTGTTGCAACACCAAGGTTTTTCTCTTGACACATGAATTAATTCAGGACTAAATATGCAGATACTACTCCTGTTGAAGGAGCTCAACATGGAAAGATAGTCTGAACAGAAATTACTACCAAGTGTAACAGTTTTTACCTAAAGAGGAAATATGAACCCAACTTCAGTTCCACAAAGATCAGCTTCAACTAAATTACTGCTATTCTAAATGAGATTTTGCTATTAAAATAGAATAATTTATCACAAGCAGGAAAAGCATAAAAATAAAACCAGTATTAAGAAATATAATGAAAATTAATAGAGTGTAGAAGCATAAGAATCAGTATGCCATTGCACAAGTCTCCAATATCATACATACTGAACAGCAGCTTTTACCACCTCATCACAGTTAAATTATAGATGCTAAACATCTAAATGCATTTAAGAAGTGACCAGAAAACATACTGAGGAATAACTCCTTGCTGGCAATTGAGTATAAAAAGTTGGCATCATTATCTGGCACAGGAGCTGCAAATCAACAGCAACTGTAAGAGTACCCTGATCAAGCAGAGTTGCACCTTTCTGAGTAGTGCTGGGCCACATCCATATAAAAAATATATTGAATTCCAATGTGTAAGAATTTTTCAAGTAGTGAAATATTCCAGCTACTTAATTCTTCTTCAAAAAGGGTTTTATTTGTACCACAATTCATACAATTTTTACTTGGAGTTTGGAGACAGCCTCAATCCATCATTTTGCTATCTTTCACATTCTACACAGTTGGTCTTTTTATCTGCCCAAAATATTTAGCTGTTTGAGGACAAAAATTGTAGACAATTAGTTCCAAAGAGAAGTAAATAACATAACTCTTCATATGGTGAGCTCTTTCCAATTTAGTAAAGAAGATGAAGACTGACTGCTGCTAACATCTATCTGAAGCTTCTTATAATAAAAGTCACTAAATTGCATAAAATTAAGTAAAACTGTATTAGTTAACTTTTAAATATTTAATAATAAATGTATTTATTAATAAATGGTTGATTCAGCCACTCAATTAACTATGCACTTTACTAATTTGTCATAAACAGGAAAATGTTTATTTATTAGGATCGCCCAAACTGATTTATCCTGCTCCATTACTGACAAATGACAACTTGCTGCTTTTACTCAAAACCCTCTGAACATCAACCCACTAATTACAGCAGCCAATCATCCAGGCTATACTGTTCTTCACCTACTCCACCTAAAACATAATAGTTACTTCTCATTCTTAATTATTTACCTTAGAATCACTTTCCTTGTGATGTTTGGCACAGGATCGAAGCTGAGTTATCCAGTACTGTTTCTCCTTTGCATCAGCAGCTAGAACAGAAACAAGAAAATGCAGGCAATCACACATTAATCAATTCTCTTTTGCCCAAGAGGTGACAGAGCAGGGCAGAGGGGGAAAGATTAATTATTGATTAGAATGCAGTATAAATCCTAATTTATGTTACATAAAAACACTTAAGTTTTTCAGTGCCACACATCTAAACCTGTACTTAAGAGGCCAGTTGGAAGAAATAAGCTTGTGAGTCTTCTTCATAGTTATCTCTTCCACATGTTAGCAAAGGCAGAACTACCTACCTCAAGAAGACTACTTTGTTCAAAATTTTTCAGCCACTTTTTTTTTATTTGTCTGTCTTTGTGAAGGACACACCACAGCATTTAAATCCAATAAAAGCTCTACACTCAGGCTGTCAATCAGCTACCAGACAAGCTACCAGTTCCCCAGATACTTAAGTGCTTCTCTTGTAATAGAGTTCAACTATACCTCTCTCTAAACCCATGTCATTCACATGCAACTTAAAGACATAGGAATTTCCCCCACACATCTTTAAAAACCAGCTTTAAAAATTATTGAGGAGTTTGTCTCCTCTCAGATGGCTCCTGTGTAATATACTAAGTCTGTTTAGGAGAAAGGCTTTTGTTTTTCCCTAAACTACTACTACAGGAAACCTCATTAGGAACAGCAATACAGAGTTGATAATTTCAGTAAATATTTTCTCTTACTTCCTCTGCTATTGAGTATCTTAATGGTTATTGACTCAGCATAAAAATTGTTTACTAATTTTAATCAAAGTCACAGACATCATTAAATTAAAAGCAGCATATTGTAAGCATTTGATAATTTCAAGTGATTGGAAAAGCATAATGAAACACAAGTGCTCATGATTTCTAGCTGTGCAACTTTCAAAGCATTTTATCCGAAATTCTCCCTGGTTGTTTCTGAATTCAGTTCTGTGTATGAAAGAGCAACACAATGTAGCACAGGGGACTCCTGCATGCTCAGTGCTGCTGGACAACTGGTAAACTGTGGTCAGAATATAACTAAGAATACTTCTGTTACACTGCATTGTCTATCTTTTCTTTTAGATAACAGGGTTTTTTTATAAATTAGCTTGACCTGGCAGCATCATGATCAATCAACTATACTGAAAATACCTTAAAATCAGAACACTGCCATTTTTTTTTCTTCCTTTTTGTAAATATTCCAAAGTAACTCATATATACCCTGTATTGTTTGTCTTATACTTGGGAACAAGGGAAGAGAACATTTTCTGTCACAGGAGCATTCAATTACTCCAAGACTGATAAGAACATAATATCTCAGCAACCCCTCACTGGCATTTTTCCCTTCTCTGACCCATCATCAGATTCATTACTGCACATTATCTGCAGGATGGTGGCAGGGAAGAACAGTACTAGAAAACAAATGTTATGCTGTGGAAGCAATGAAAGCACCTTTTTCATCCTTTGGAAGCAAATAAGATACAGCATTCAATGAAAATGCCAGGGTAACAGATTACAGAAGCCACCTTGAGGTACCTTCCAGCCCTGAAAGTCTATATATTTTAAAGTCACATGTACTTAACTCTAGATTACTCCTCCATCGTGTTTTAAAATATACTGTGTAATAACAGAGCTGGATAGCCACTACTTTCTGACAGCACAGGGAAATGAGACATGAGAGAAGAGATGCAGAAGTGGGAGTGGAAGAGAAGAACAATTGAGCAGGCACTGTGAGCAGCACTGTACCTCTCAGCTTGTACATCTCTCCATTAGCAGAGTAGACCACCATCATGTGTGGCACTTCATCACTGGGCGATATGATAGCTCCAGCTAAAGACAAGGCTCCTCGTGGCTTTGGGCTCTGGTTTTTCGTTTGCTCATTCATGAAATACTGCAGAATCCCCGTCTCAAAGTCCAGCACAAAGTACCTGTGCAAAGAAATTACAAGCATACAGTATTTCCACAGAAGCTTTTCATGCATTTACCCAACAAAGGGCAGAGATTGATCTTAAATCAAGATCATAAATATACATAGGAGGTAAAAGTAATTTTTGTAATTACAATTTTATAAGGTACTGTTATTAGGTTTGGTTTTTCAGTGGTAGATGATCTATTCCTTTATTCGTAACACAAGCCATTTCACAATAAACCAACACCTAAGACTGAAAGATTATACAAACAAAAAATAAACTAACTGGGTTGCTCAAGTGCACTAAATGAAAGTGAAGGCATTTCAAAGTTGGTGTGTCAGCCTCAAGAGTTGAAAACATTTATTTTTTCCCACAAATGAACCTTTCTTTCACAATAGCACAGATCCTAAATTTCATTTCCCTCTGCAAATCTTTTATGCTATCACACAGAACAATTATTTAACACTAACCCTTGACCAAGAGGGAACAGACAGCAGCCTCCTGGCTCACATGAAGGTCAGTCTACTACAATCCTCAACAGACTAGACCAAAGATCACACAAATGTAGGTAACTCCCCTTAGCCGCTTCTAAAAAATCACCCCTAACAATCTGGCTAACCCCACTAACATGGGCATTTGTAACACACAGTATTTGTTACTGTTCCTCTAAGATAAGATTACCACAGGTCATATGAATTTGTGTAAAATATTCCAAAAACTGTGGTTATTTAGACTTCTGTTGCTTTGTCTATCCCAAGTTTGCTCAAGTTACCACATTTTGTCTTTCAATATCCCCATATCCCAAGTTTGCTCAAGTTACCACATTTTGTCTTTCAATATCCCCATATGGAGAACATCTCCAACTAACCTTCCCCATCACAGACCATTTCCAGGATTATCTTCACAGCCTGCAGTTACTGGTGGTGATCTGCTCTTCTCTTTATTCATGCCAAATATGCCTGGACATGATGCAAGCAGTTATTGCCTAAGACTTACAGAGTTTCAGACATTTTGCTTTCCTTTGCTACAGCTTTGCCTAACTCTCTACTGCCACTGCCTTCACATCTGAGCAAAGATCAAATTCTCTTTCAATTGTTCCAGATTAACAACCCTGTCCCAAAGAATTTTAAACTAGTGCACCACCACACCCTTCACTTCTGCCCCGACTCCATCTCCCACAAGTCCTTCTGCATCCTTTTCCTCAAGAAACAAATGGAAGGCCTCCCTTTTGTAATCATGTAGCAGCACAACACCTTCCCTCTGCAGGTTATCTTCAACACAAAGAAGGTTGAGGAATGGAAGTTGAATTTTCAATTTTCAATAGTAGTGTTAGAAATAAGGATGCACTAAAAGGAAACTACCAGAATTTGCTATTACCTTACTGACTTGTATTGTACCAGTTCATAACCTTCCTGTTGTGTTTGATTTTTAAATGATTTTACAATACTACTCTTCCCCTTAATAAGCACTTTTTCTCTCCAGATTGATTAGTAGGAGATAACGATGCACTTAACTGCAGGGGAAAACAGCAGAATTGGAAAACTTTTTTTTTTTAAAGTCAGACTTGCATATTTCATAGTAAATTTTAATTTTGCTCCTTCTCATTTTCCCAGATATTCTGGGAACATCTGTTACATACTCAAGAGAAAAAGCAGAGCACTAGACAGAAGTGATGCCACACCCCTGAGAAAATGACACAGTAGCTTGACCCTAGAGCTAATGCTTCTCCCCATCATCTCTGAGCTCAGCAAACAAGTCTAGACTTTATATAAAGTGATGTTCATTCCGAGCCCATGCCATCCTCATTATAATTTCATTGTCCTTTTATTGTTCAGGTACAAATAATTTATTTCAACCTTGGTTATTTGGCCATTTTTTAATCGATTACTACCTTGGAAATCATCATTGTGGTTACTAAAGTGCAGTTCTACAATTAACAAAAGGAGGAACAACAGCTAGAGGAGAAAAAAAAAAGGAAAGAAAAAGAGAGGTAAGAAAAAAGTCACTTCTTCTCCTATTAAGACCAAAGGATTTGGAGAAAAAAGTTCCTCTGAGTCTATTAGAACAGAATCTATTAAGTTACATAAACACTACGAGCACTTCAGCTCAGAAACTTCTGCATGCTAGACCAGCAAAGCACTCCCAGAATGACTGTAAGCTCCACAAAAATGGACTTTGCATTGGCTTAAAGCTACCCCAGGGAAGCAAACCAGCCATTCGAGTACAGAATAATACCTTCACCAGCATAATGACATCAGACAGCAGCAACTTCTGCAAATTCCCAAATGCAGAGACTGCATCCTTCCACATCCTTGTTATCACTGCTACAGCAGTAGTGCTAACTGGATCTCTAGCCAACCACAACCTGTTTTATGTACAGTCTCAGAAAACCAGAACATCACCACTGACCTTGTACCTTAAGTTTTTTTGTGATGATGTCTTAGAAGCCTGCAAAAGCAAGCAATTTGGAAATCAAGCAGTATTTTGAAGAAAGAAAAAGGTAGCCAGTTTTCAGAAGTCTTCACATCACCCTCAAGTATCCTGCCTTCTTTCTTGTCCCAAAAGAATCAGGAACTTTTCACAAGCACTTTGGCCATGACACTGTTCACATCACACAGAATCAAGCATTTCCTTTCCAAAGATTATGGTTTGATGTGCAACTCCCCTCTTCACCTTTCACACAGTGGTATCACAGAAAAAGACAAGAATAAACTGCACAGACAACTATAGCCTCACAAAGAAGCTGGGAGATAACACACTTTGAAAACTGCTAAAAGGATAGAAAGAGCCAGGAGAAGGAATAAGGAATTAAATGTCAAATCAAGCAGTGCAAGGCTTCATACAAAGGAGGTGGAGGAGAGAGGAACACAAAGAGATAGGAAAAACAGGAGCAGCTTTCAAAAACATTTTCTCGCATCACAGACCAAATGATGACCCAGTTCAGACCATCACAAAAACACAGAAGAAATGAAGACCAGAGTCTTTCATTAACTGAGGATGGAAAAGCATTACACATATAAAGTAGAAGAGCAGGGTACATGTCCCATTTTAGAAGCACTGTGCAGCTGAATCAAAAGGACAGAGATCTCTTTTAACTTCTAAAAGTCATTTGTTCTGCCTACCAGGGAAATAACAGCACTAACCTCTCTACAACTGATTCATCTGGCCACCTCATCCTCACTGCTCTGCCTTGCTCACATTTACCCATGATGTCACATTTCTGTAATTAAATCTCAGATACCAGTGATGAAAACAAACATACTCTTTAGAGAACAGTCAGGCAGAAGGTGGCAGAGCCCAGTTATGTCATACTTCTCACATGAAAAATCAGTGCTACAGAGAAATTGTGAAATAACTGTTACTGAAAGACACTTCCAAAGGACACCTGGATTTTTCAGTTATTCTAAACCAGAATAACTTTTTTTTAAAATTAATAGTCTTTAAAAAAGGAAAGGTAGAAAATCATCTAGAGGAAAGGTAGAAAATCACCACTCAAGCATATTTTAAGCAGTTTTAACTGCTTAAGCACAGTTCAAAATGGACAGGCAAAATTACAGGCAAGAAAATGCAAGGCTTCACAAATGAAGAGCCACTGGATTTCTCACTTCAGATTCAAATCCATTCAGAAACTAAAAGCTTCCTCTGGCCCAGCTTCCCTTAAGCTCCTGAGATCCATCAGGATACTCCCCCTATGCCATTCCAACCAAATGCAGAGCCATTACCAACTGGCATGAATTACAGGAGAAAACATTCACCACACTCTGCAGAACGGAAGTCTGACATGACCAGAATTGCTACTTTGTCACTCAGGAGTTTGTCAATATGGCCCGATGACAGTTTCTTTGTCTTTCACTTCCCATATTTCAAAATTAATGCCTTCTCTGCATAAGTCCTAAGTCTTATAAATTCTACAATTGTCTTAATTAAAGTTATGTTTGACCATGCCCTTCATCCATTCACTCATTCATTTATAGCCATTAAAAAAAATTAAAATGTCAAGCAGAACAAGTATGATATGCTAGGAAGTGGAACATGTTGCCTTCTGAATTCTTAGAAGGGAAGGGTCAAACACTGTATTAAAAAAGTATTTCAACTGGGTTTGCTTCCACTAATAAGAGCATTTATTAGACTAATAACTATAACATGTCCATATAATTATACAGTATTACAATAATTTATTATTAGTTCCCTATTCAAAAGACTAAGAAAAAGCAGTGACTATGCTTTAAGGAGTGATAAAATGCTGGTAGTATAGCAGGACATGAAAATGCTCTACCACTAGAGCTTGTCAACAAACAACAGCAGCTTAACAGGTCTCCCATGAGAAAAACTGACATTTCACCAGTGTAACAGATTTGAGGTAATAAAAATTTTTTAAAAAATTTTAAAAGCCACACATAATTATCAGAAGCACATGATACGAACATTTCCCACATAATTTGCTCACCTCACTGGATTAAAGAATTTTAATTTTCCCATTTCAAGGCAAATTAATCATTTCCTTATTCGCCAGTGGAAATGAATACTTTAGTAAGTAAATAATAAAAAATAAACCACATCTCTATGCATTTCATCATTCAATTACACATCATAACATGGTGCACTGCTCCTTAAAGCTGTCACTTGGATGCAAACCTGCAACACCCAAAATTATGCTCCCAACAGAAAAAAACACCTCAAAACAAGTTTCTCCTTTTCTTCCCTTATTCTGAACACATCTCACAAAACAACTATCTGAACCCATGTTTTCACTATTTTGTAATCCAAATAAATTTTCAGTGTAGGATTGCAAAATCTTTCCATTGTGTAATGCATTCCTAGCGATTTGAATATTCCTTACACCCTTCTTTCCCACTTAAGTCAGTTTTCGGGACCAGATTTTGTACAACTTCCAGTTTGAATCCATAATGTGACAGAGGTTTTTTATAGACATTTACAGCTGGACAACTACAGTCCCAGTCAAATCTTCAATTTCTGACACAATCTTCTGGAAGAACCTCAAGTCTTTTGGAAAGCAG